AAACCGAGTGTACCACAGATCACCTCTGCTTCAAATGAGCGAATCAGTTGTCTTGTGTTTACATCATTTTGTTTTGGGTAGACAGCAGTGTTAGTTAGTGTAAATGATATAAAACTACTCATCTCAATCAAGCAGTAGTATATAGTGTTATGTAGGTCAAACTATCAGTTTATAAATGGGTTAAGAGAGAGAAGGAAGACGATTTAAATATATTATTTCAGTCTACAATATAAATTGATCTTTCACGATCAACGTTTTGTTGTCTATCTCTTATCAACCTAAACTCGACGGCTATGAAATATCAAAGAATAGTTATAGTAAATGTTTAAAAAACAGATGGATTTCAGTCAATAATCCTTATAGGTTATAATATATCAGACTATATGAAAAACTTACTTTGCTGAACTAACGCCTGTTTATGGGATGACAAACTTCAGTGCTTTGAAAACCAGGGAGTACTGGACAGCTGTTTCATCCTGTCTAGTACTCTCTGGTTTTCAATGCTTATTTAACTGATATCAATCCGGGATCAACTCGTAAAAACAAATTTAATCCTTACAAACCAACTATTGAAAAATTCAGTGCGTTAATTTGCATTCTAATGCTTTAAATGATTACTGTTGTAAGAGACATTAATAGAGAAACAGATTAGCACAGTCATGATGGAGAAGATTTGTAGTTCAGCTAGATAACATAGGAGAAGTTGTATTTTCTGAGGTTGACTGACAAATTACGGAGTTTTTTGTGTGTTTTAGACCACATCTTCGGTGCGGACTTCAGTATGAAGAAATCTTTTGAAATTCATTATGATTTTATCATTCGTCTCTTCTGGTGACTCTGAACGAGATTTATTGTTTCCGAAGATTTTATCAACCTCTTCCAATTCAAGTGGACGTCTTCATCAATGGATAGGTGCAATTTTATAAAATAAACGTGAAGGCTTCTGTTACTTAATGAAGTAGTTTTCGCGATGTGAGAATACGAGGAAACCGTAAATAAGGAGAGCACAACTGAATTGCATAGTAAAAAACCACGATAGTGTGGAATGGTTATAACAAGAAACATTATGGAAATTTTAGCAGACTCATCCAATTTTTATGCCATAAGTAATAATTTGTTTTCTCTCAACCGGAGACTTAAATTTTGTGAAATGTAGAATGGCTCTACTGTTAGGTTGTATCACTTTCAAAACATTGTGCAAAAATAGACTTTACACCCCTTCTCCTAACAATCAGTGCAAGCTAGCTGGAATACTTTCTTTTTCTGATGACATTTATCATTTTTCTCCTACTATTAAGGGATTTTGTTGTGGAAATATGTACTTGCTGATAACTTCTAAGAATAAATATATTTTTCTTGTTATTTTAAAACCAATGAATGACATTATTGGGCATACAAAAAATAGTAAAAGTGACGTAGATATTATTATTGAAACTGATGTGTAGGTAACTGTCACTGATATTTCCCTCGAAAGAACATTTTAATAAACTTTTCTTTACTTGGGATATATTTAACACAGATTGCAACTTGAGAAAAGCTATAAGTGCAGGACTTTGCCACTCTTAGATTTTATAATCATAGAAAGTTGCTGATTGAAGTTACACAGTTATCAAAGCCAATTATGCACATTTGTTTAAGTTTGCAAAACAGTAGCATATTTATTGAAAAAAACGTCAAAATATGTACAGAAGAAAATGTCAGGGTAAATTGCATGTCAGTGTCAATGTCAGCTGTGGACTAAATATCAATCCTTAACCTAGATCAAAACCTGTGTCAATCCTTTTTCACTGATACATCGTTAACCAGTTAGAACCAAGTCTATATGCATTAAACTAGCAAATCATTGATTATGTCAGTTAATTATTTAAATAACTATAATTTTCAAATTATTCCTTTTGTTCCGGAGTAGTAATTATCTTCTTCTCTGTCTTCTCAAAATATCGAGCCCAGTGTTGGAGTAGTTGGCTATATTTCTTGTGACTAGTTAGTTGAAGGAAATCCGAAGCCGTGTGTTGCAAAGAAATGTAACTAAATATGAATAATAAAACGTATGCCCAGACTGAATTTCAGTATGTATCGTCTTCTTTACATCTGAACGAAGAATATTCTTTCCCGTAATTTCTCTTCAGGTTCTTACAATTATAAATATAATATTTGTTGTCGTTACAATAAAGGCCAGTTATGCGGCAGATACATTTTTAACGTAGAATAACAGATTAATTATGGGGTGTCAAAATAAATAGTCGTATTTGTGTGACAAACGTACTAGGCCGAAATCGATTACAAAATATTGTAAAACGGGAGACAATGGTGATTAATCATAATAGATTTGTGGAGTGTGGGGTAGGAAAACTGACAAGTGAGTTCAAGGTTATAAAAGGTGTCAGGTGAGTGGCTAGTACAAAGTGGTCTGTGTTAAACAGGAGATAGTAAGACTGCAATGAGAGGTTCATAATGAAATAACGAATATGTGAAATGAAACAGGTGGAGGCATATATCGAGAAAAGAGATAATATCACTAATAATAAGTCCGGATAGTATAAACTAAAAATTCGATAGTATTGAGAGAATGTTTGCATGAAGGGCATAAATTATGACGAATAATAATAATATTGATAATAATAATAATTGTAATAATAATAATATTTGTAATAATAAGCAAAGGAGAAAAAAATCCAAGAGGGTTAAGGGGAAGGAGCACTCTTGGTGAGAAGAAGAATCATCAATCCAAGTTTAGCCATGGTAGGAACAGCGTCTGTACGTGTTCTTTTTGGATACAAAGTTCCGGTTTAGTCGATCTTATTGCAACAGCTTCAGCTATGTGTAGGAGACGTAAGCGAAGTGTACGTGATAACGACTTCGGAATTCGGTATATAACCCTGAAAGCTGTGTCGACATCGATATGATGTCCAGTATCGACCAAGTGTGACAGGATCGAGCTTTTTTATGCGCTTAATTTCCCCCTGCTGAACCAAGCTGGTAGATGTTCTCGAACCCGTAGACGAACCTGCCTAATCGTGCGCCCTATATAACTTGAACCACAGGAACAGTTGAAATGGTATATGCATGAAGAAGAGCTAAGCTTAGGTAAGACATCTTTGAGTTGCTGAGTGAACATTGGACGGCTACTGAAGGATAGACACAGACGTGCAGAGTAAAAAGTTTTCTTGATCGCCCTGGTTAAACGTTGCGATAAAGTCTCTGCAGGAGTATCTCCCTTGAACTGGAGAGGTAAAAACAGAGGCTTTTTCTCCACCATTGCCACTTCATGTTTACGACCTGAAGAGAAATTATTGAAAAGAATATTCTTCGTTCAGATTGACTTTTTGATTCATAATATAGGAATTTTCCACACTATCAAATTCTGTTTCAGTAAGAAGTTTCCATTTAATAGTACTTAGTGATTAGCATAAAAAAACACACCTAATAAAATCCCACAGGATCTAAACAATTCTCTTTTCAGCACCTGCGTTCTGAATAAATATACCAGTAAACTGCTTAGTACTCAGCATAACATTAAGCACTCAAAAGTCTTTTAAATCAACGTGAACATTGTTCATAAAAACGGATTTTTGATGTCACCGGTGTTCGTGTAAAAAATATGGTTTTGTCATTAATCTAGGTGTTGTGGTACATATCTAAAAAAGCAGAGCTCAATCACCTGCACTTGTGGCTACAAGTACATAGGAAGGATTGAGAAGAGATCGTCTACTAGATTCTCCGAGCATATCAATAAAAATCTCCGTGTGAAATGCAGCTAAGTGTTCCCAAGTGGGATCGCAAGACACCTAATTGATACAACACATACAATGGCAATTAGTCAGGCTTCCAAAATATTCAATGCACAAAGAAAACCTCGGTTAATTCTGTTCGCAGAAGCCATTGGCATAAAAAAATCGATCCAACCTATACACACAGAAAGATAATGTGACTTATGCCTCGCTCTCCTGGTAACTAAAGTCGTTTTGCGCGTATGCTTTTGTGTTCTGTTCTTTCGCATAACATTGCAGTCAATCCTTATTTTGATTTTTATTCACTGAACTGAACTCACTATTAAGGTTCCATATCTACTAAATTAAATCATTTTATCTATTTTGTAATTTTACTTCACTATTCACCCCCAGCCTCCTGAATTCTCCATCATAATATGTATAAATTAACTCTGCCGTTCTATCTTCTATTTTTTCCCTGGTCCATCCTTATTTCCAAGAGAAATCCGAATTCCACCCTTCTGTCTTATTATCATATAAAAAGTTACTCTTTCTAAAACTAAATAATTTGTTACTTACATCATCTTTGAAATTATGTTGCTTATACTTTCTATCTATAACTTGGAATCACTGTAAGAAAGTAAGTTCAGAAATTTTATACCATATAATTAATTTACTGAGGATGTACGAAGGTGAATAGAAATTAAACGAGTTCATATTATCCTGCAAATATATTTGTTCTTTCTTTATTCAAACTAGTTAAAGGAACCGGCTGTTTGAAAAACTGTAATTATGTCCAGAAAATGACTGTATTATGTCTTAGGACTGAGTGGCGTTCACTTTGTCATCTTTAGGAGCTTATTTTTCGCATTTGTTGTATAAGGTCACTATTTAAACTTGGTATGGTATGTTGTTATCTTTCACTGTTTTACCTTGTATGAGGAACTTGAATATTCATAGTGGTAAGCTTACGAGAAGGGGAAGACCATGTACTCATGTATCACACTGGACGTATTTCAGGGTTATGATAAACAAAGATTACAGTATTTGCCACCATCAATATTCCTGTTGTACTGTGACGTAAAGAAATAATCCAACAAGTTGGTTGGGTTTATTAAGCACTGGCAATGACAACTTTCAGGAATGCGGCATTTATATATATTTATAGATAATTTGGATACTTGATTCATGAAAGGCAGCAGCCAAATTAAATGAAGAAAGATATTTATACACATATACTCACACATAGTTAAGGTAAGAAAATTGGATATTCACCAAAATACAACTTACTAATCTCACCATTGGGACACCGTTTTCTTTGTATTCATTACATGCTGCTGAAGGAGCTGAAGAAGAACAACTGGATGTAGGATTCTTGGAATAGAAAATTTCATTACTTTCTTCAGTAGCTTGATTTATTTTTGTTGTCATATTTGCAATCTATTGTGTTACACTATCCATACTACTTGGTTGATGTATGATTTTTGTCACCGATATCCAGAGAGTTTACAAAAAACTGTCATTTCTTTTTACATTATATTTCTAATTTATGTTTGACAACTTGAAATTTTTATGAAATTATTAAAATATTAAAAAAAGAAAGTTGATAAGTTGGCTAAAATGACTAGGCACAAGTAAATTAGTAACAGTTTTAACTTAATTCTAATTGGCCGTATAAATATGGCTACCATAGGCTGACAATTTAGTTGATTTTGAGCGAACAACCTATGAGGAATAAGGTAAAATGCATAGGGAGTAGTAAATCAATTACTGCGAAGAGATGCTTGTTTAAAATGACATTATAGTCAGAAATTTTCATCTATCGCCTGATATTTGTACTGCAGACAGGGTTCCAAATGAAATCTTAGTGTATTAGTTGTTAAAAAACACATCATCTTCTACTATTTCCAAACTTTAAATGATTAAATAGCAAGTTTTATCGTCGCGCGACTTTGTGCTGTCTGTTGTTGTTTTTGTTGATGATGTAAGACTATAGGTGGTGGTCTTTTATTTGTTTCACTTTTTTCGGTTCACTTAAACGATTTTAGTAGACATCTTATGTATCATGAGAAAAAGACAAGGTGACTTAACTTCGTTGCAGCTTTCAGTATTCAGCTTGTGGGTCAGAGAAAATATTTGTCCGGTTTATCTGTAGCTAGGGGAAGCTCTTATAACTGCATACTGAAAAGACGAAACAAAACCTTTCGTTGGCATTAGTGACCTAAATTCTGTAATTCTCCCAGCTTCATCTAAGGTTAGCTTCAAACTGAAGGTTAAGCGGCCAGGATGGATTAGCAACAAGGAATTTAGGCGACAAAGTAACCAAGAACCTTCCGCTCAACAAATATGCGGAAGAAAATGAAGAGTTGATGGGATAAATTCTGAGGAGACTGTTGAGGGACATCTCGTGCTAGACCCTCCGAAAGAGAAACAACAAGTTGGATACATGAGGGTGACATGGTGGAGATTCTATGAGAATGAAGATAAAGCCTAGGGGCAGTCGTCGAGTTGGCCAAAGGGGACTGCAGAAAAGAGGGTAAAATTGAGATGTACTGCTGAAGCCTTGTGTTACATTCGGAACCCAAAAGAAATATAAACAGAAAACTGTTAATAAACACTGAACATAGGTCAAGAGATCACAAATAGTTGGCTTCACAAAAACAACAACAGTTTAACTTGTAACACCTAAATGTATCCCGATTACAGAACAGTACTAAACAGTCTGATAGAATCATGTTTCCTACATGACCTGGGGTTCAGTTGTTGAACATTCAGAATGTTTCAAATCACTTTCATGAACAATGATAACTCGAATACTGTTTCATCAACAATGAGAGCACAAAAGACGAGAAAGGTCAGATTTTTTGAAGGGGAAAAAATCAACTGGTGTCGCTGCCGGTAGGACTATTTCACCGGACCATTTCATTACAGTAGCCATATGTTTTTACCCATCAGTTGACTACGGTTTAGAAAAATATCAGTGAGATGACCTGTGATCCAGTTTGCGGACAACAGTTTATTTCAATGATTACTTATAGAAAAGGCTTACCAATTGTGCTTTTATGTACAGACTAGCACAAACTTAACCAGCTACTATGTTTACACTAACCTAAATTAATTTGTTATAAGAAGAATACGACAATATTACAGACTGTTTTGTCGTATACTTGCCTTCCACTTTAATTTATCCTACTTGTTTTAAAAAAAATAATAGAAGTAAAGTGAAGCAACTAAAATGCCCGAAATGGTCTGAAATATCTCTTTTAATTTCCCATGAATATGTGCGATTCATTTCAATCTCATGAGTTATGTTGGAAGAAATTTTTCACGTTACAACAAAGTTGTTAAAGTGCATTGATGAAGGAAAATCCTAGAATAAGAATGAATGATTTGGATTCAGTTCAGAAAAATACCTATCCAGAACAAACAGTTCAGTAGAGAGTGTCTTTTCGGCGAATTCATTCACTTAGCTGTAAAATCGCAATAATGTGTAATTATTTGTGTGTACGTATATTAGGTTTATCAGACAAGAATAAAAATTAGTTAGGGTTATTGTTTACGTCATCAAAATGTTTCAAAACATGTGATGAATGGTCAAATCGTGACGAGGGGTGGTGAAAATGAGTAAGTATTGACAAGGGTGGCGTAATATGAAAGACACCCAGAAAAATAGGATGTTAATGAAAGAGCTTAGAGACAAGTGTCCAAAATAAATTATGTAATAGGCAGAAAAAGTGAATAAGAGGCTGATGAAGAAAAAAATGTTTCTAAGACGTCATGCAGTGCATCAGTGGTACAGCGGTAGAATACTGGCCAACCACGCAGATGGTTTGGGGTTCAACCCTCAATCAACTCACTCCTTTACTTCACTAAGCCAGTAATAAGAATGGTGAAGAGGGAAGGTTGGGCATGAAACTAGCAACCCCATCCCATAAAAAATGAATACCACTGCCACCGAAAATTCAATGCTCTAGTTTGAAGCCCTGTGTTCCATTGGGAACGTAAAGGAATAAAAAAATGTCATACAAACATTAGAAAACAGCCTTATTATCAAAGTAGTAGTGTGGTAAGAGCTGTCTGCAAGCCAGAATTGTAGACAACAGTTAAAGGTAATGTTTACGCCCTGGATAGGGGTCAAGAGAAAAAACAATAACAGAGCTTAACCTTGAGGAACTCACCAACTAATCAGAGCAGACTTAACGTGTACAAATACGATTCGCAGATATACGGCTTAACATTTTAAGAAACGGTCACAAGCGATACAAAACAACCTTCTGCAAGAAAACAACCAGTCAGAAGACGTTGCTTCTCTGCTAACGATAACGAATAATAATGTACATAAATATCTGTATCTCTTTATTTTCTAAATAAACGATCTGTTGTCTGACCCTTGTCTTCTGTCGTTACAATAGGACTTGAAAGTAAACCCATGTTAGAAAGAGGGGGTAGAGAAGTTTCTTCTCTGCACATAAATCAGGGTTTTCTGTCCGGATCGCTGAGGCCTGAACAATGCAAAGTATACGGAAGCTTACTGTCTTCGGGAGGCTTCTTCTGACTTTGTAGGTGAAACATTTTGATGATATGAGCAACAACCCTAACTAATTTTTATTCTTGTCTGACAAACCTAATGTACATACACAAAAATAATTACACAAAATTGAGATTTTACAGCTAAGTGAATGAATTCGCCGAAAAGACACTCTCTACTGAACTAATTGTTCTAAAATTCAATTTAGAAAGTCTTAAATGATGGCACACTCATGAAAGGATGAAGAAAAGTGTATTGTTGTTGGTTTCAGTCTAAGGAATAACTCAATATAGGCATTCATACAGTTAGGGTATTCCGAATCACTTTATGGTTGTAATGGCTCGTGACTAAACAAAAGTGTCTTCGGAAACAAATTTAAAGTTTGTGTAATGCTTAGTACCATCATAAAGCAAATATTAGCTTGACAGTCTTTGAATGCCTTTCTGAAATGCATTTATCTTCATGTAAGATACTTATGTATGAACAGCTGAATGTATCGTGTCACTTACTAATTAGAAATAATTGCTTAAGCTTGTCAGTGGTATACAAGTTCAATAGAGATTAGATTTGTCAATTGAGATATTGGTAAATTTATAGATGACAGCGTATTTACATTTCATCAGTGTTTTAAATCTAAATTTTGAGATGAGAGACTAGTCAGCCAGATCACTGAAGCATTTATTTCAAATTTCACATAATCAATTGAGGTCAAGCGTTTACTGTTTTCCTGTAAGCTTTATTTCTATTTCAATATGTTCATAAATCTGTTCTATTTTAGACTTTTGAGTTTACCCGTACAGTAATAAATTTTCTTCGTTCCGACCTTCTTTTTAACACGGTTGCCTGTGAAGCGAACTATTTGTATGAAATTTTAATGAAAACATTAAAAAACCTTGTTTTGTTTATCGATCTATATGGGGATATCTGTCTGGTTAGATGAATGTATGGACAAACAGATTAGCAAAGTTCACGTTTTTCTTTTACTTGACAAAATATCTCAGTACTGTTTCTGTTCCAATAGATTACTATGGGTGAGACTAAAAAATAAATCTGCGCGCGAAACACAATTTTCACTGATTACAACAAGAGTGTTTCATTTTTTTTATTTCAACTGCTACATAAAAAGTTTTGTACCATTGACAATGTAAGTATAAAATTATTGTTTAAATATGTCGTTGATTACAGACGAATGCTTTTCTTCGTGATGCATTTATGAAAAAAGGAAAAAAAAACAAATGCTTTCTTTTTCTACCAAACTAACAACATTTATTTTACTTGATTACTAAGGAAATGACGTCAGAAAATTGAAGATGTTTTTGTGAAGTACATATTAGGAATGTTTCCTTCACACTTAATACCTGCAAGAAATAGATTTTATACATGCGTGTAATCTGTAAATTACTAGTTTTGAAAGAACTTATTAGAAAATTAGGCTGTGTCATGCTGATTATTCTACGTTTTCAAGCATCGATCTGCAGATTTCAAGTTAGATAAAAAGTTGACAACAAAAATACTCACTAACGACACTGACTAGCGATGACAGTATGTATCACAAACCATTGGAAGTTAGGCTTCATGGGCTACTGGATTCCATTTCTGTGACCAAATGATCATCTGGCTTGCCTCATAGTCTGAAGGTTCTGAGTTAAATCCCTGGTGGGGTCATGGTTGCGTACTAATGAGCAGTAACTGAATGAGACGAAAAAGTTGCACTTTATTAGGCGGTTTTAAATACTTCTACGGTCGACATTTTGTTAAAGGATTGTTGTATAGCATAATTAATATTTGCCTGAGAGGTAAATCTATGTTATATATTTTGATTCATATCTGGTACATTTCGTTGCAATTCTAGGGAAGATATAAACAAACCCTGGGTTATCTAGTCAGCAGAAGACTACCTAGTATAATGTCTCATTTTATTCCCTTCGGTATTCATACTACTTAAATCAGTTTCAACTTTTAGCCTCCATCTAAAAGTATGAATGGTCTAGTCAAAGGGAAAACTCAGTCAAGAATGTCATCTGTTTGGTAATATTTGCCATCTAGATTAATCAATAATTATTGACTGCATTGGACAGGTTTAACCTTACTAGGCAACGAAATCTTCGCAAATAAACCATCCAGCTCAGAGAACACAACTACACCCAAGTCATCCACCTGAGCTACGAATCTTCTCCATCATATCCA